TTCGTGGCTCCATAGGGAGCTCCACCGAAGGCCCCAGTGCCCGCGGCCGCATGCGTCCCCCACACCCATTTCGGCACACCCCTCACACGTTTCGTGGCTCCATAGGGAGCTCCACCGAAGGCCCCAGTGCCCGCGGCCGCATGCGTCCCCCACACCCATTTCGGCACACCCCTCACACGTTTCGTGGCTCCATAGGGAGCTCCACCGAAGGCCCCAGTGCCCGCGGCCGCATGCGTCCCCCACACCCATTTCGGCACACCCCTCACACGTTTCGTGGCTCCATAGGGAGCTCCACCGAAGGCCCCAGTGCCCGCGGCCGCATGCGTCCCCCACACCCATTTCGGCACACCCCTCACACGTTTCGTGGCTCCATAGGGAGCTCCACCGAAGGCCCCAGTGCCCGCGGCCGCATGCGTCCCCCACACCCATTTCGGCACACCCCTCACACGTTTCGTGGCTCCATAGGGAGCTCCACCGAAGGCCCCAGTGCCCGCGGCCGCATGCGTCCCCCACACCCATTTCGGCACACCCCTCACACGTTTCGTGGCTCCATAGGGAGCTCCACCGAAGGCCCCAGTGCCCGCGGCCGCATGCGTCCCCCACACCCATTTCGGCACACCCCTCACACGTTTCGTGGCTCCATAGGGAGCTCCACCGAAGGCCCCAGTGCCCGCGGCCGCATGCGTCCCCCACACCCATTTCGGCACACCCCTCACACGTTTCGTGGCTCCATAGGGAGCTCCACCGAAGGCCCCAGTGCCCGCGGCCGCATGCGTCCCCACACCCATTTCGGCACACCCCTCACACGTTTCGTGGCTCCATAGGGAGCTCCACCGAAGGCCCCAGTGCCCTGCGGCCGCATGCGTCCCCCACACCCATTTCGGCACACCCCTCACACGTTTCGTGGCTCCATAGGGAGCTCCACCGAAGGCCCCAGTGCCCGCGGCCGCATGCGTCCCCCACACCCATTTCGGCACACCCCTCACACGTTTCGTGGCTCCATAGGGAGCTCCACCGAAGGCCCCAGTGCCCGCGGCCGCATGCGTCCCCCACACCCATTTCGGCACACCCCTCACACGTTTCGTGGCTCCATAGGGAGCTCCACCGAAGGCCCCAGTGCCCGCGGCCGCATGCGTCCCCCACACCCATTTCGGCACACCCCTCACACGTTTCGTGGCTCCATAGGGAGCTCCACCGAAGGCCCCAGTGCCCGCGCCCGCATGCGTCCCCACACCCATTTCGGCACACCCCTCACACGTTTCGTGGCTCCATAGGGAGCTCCACCGAAGGCCCCAGTGCCCGCGGCCGCATGCGTCCCCCACACCCATTTCGGCACACCCCTCACACGTTTCGTGGCTCCATAGGGAGCTCCACCGAAGGCCTCAGTGCCGCCGCCCGCATGCGTCACCCCCACCCATTTCGGCACCCCCCCGCATTTCTGCACGGCAGGGTCATCACCACGGTGGCGTGCCAGGGGCGCACCTTGCGCGAAGGCGACGGGGCGGGGGAACGGCGCTCCGGGGGCGGCCAGACCTCCGGGGCGCGAGCAGTCCGCGGCCAGACCATCTCTCGGTCCTGTGGACTCTCGCCCTGGGCCGTCGGCTGCCCGGCGCGCTGCTCCCTCGGTCGACGTCGCCCAGGCGTGATCCTGGATTGCGGCCGCCACGAGGTAGGGAACGGCAAGAAGGAGGACGACGACTGGTGGCTGGAGCTCTACGTGCTGCTCTCGCGCGCCACGCGCCACGAGGACCTCCTGCTCATGCGGGCGCCGCGCATCGAGTTCTTCCTGGCAGGGCCGCCGCAGGGCTTGCGGAAGCAGCTGGAGCAGTTTGCGGCGCGCACGAAGCGGTGCAGGAGGGAAGCGACGGCCCTCGCCAGGGAGCTCGGCTTCACCGAGTTCATCCGCGAGGCCTGACCTGAGGAGCGTCTCCCCCGAGCCGCGCCTTCTCTCGACTGCCCGACTAATTGTTTGGCCTCGCGCCGCGGACGACCCGCGCGCGTCGCTGGGACCCTCTCGGGGCGACCGGCGCGCGTCGCGGGAACTCCGTGCTGCGGGGGGCCCGGCGCCTCGTTCGCCCGTCGTCGCTCTGCCCAGCGGTCAGAGACTTGCCCGCTATCAGCCAGCCAGTTAGCTAGTCAGCTCTCTCTGCTTCGCGCAGCGGACGACCCGCGCGCGTCGCTGGGACCCCGCCCGGGGCGACCAGCGCGCGTCGCGGGGACTCCGCGCTGCGCTGCGCCCGCAGCCTTGGATTTTGGAGTGCGCGGGCAAAGAGGAAGGAAAAGAAGAGCCGAAAGCGGGCGCGATCCTCGCAAGAGGCGTGCCGACATGGGCGTCGCGACGTGCGGACGCTGCCGTCGGGGTTCCCGCGGAAGCTGCCTGCGGCGGCCACGCCCAGTGTCACGTGTGTTCGGACAGGCATGCTCGACACTTACACTAGGCGGTTCCATGATCGCACTCATGCAAATATATTCACTCGCGCGCAGACCCATTCATACTCAGATTCCCTCGCGCTCTGACTCACCCGCGTTCTTTCTCTCGTAATCAGATCTATCGTATTCCTTTGCGTTGTGTGCCCCGCCACATTTCGGCACACCCCTCATGCGGTTCGTGGCCCCATAGGGAGCGCCACCGAAGAATATACTCACAATTGCGATACTCACAACTGCATATGGTTGGGTCCTTCGCCAGGATATATATATATATATATTATATATATATAATATATATATTTATATATATAATATTTTTATATGTATATATATACACAACTTTTTTTGTTGTGGAAATTGCTGAGGTGTTAAACCCACCAACATGTTATATTTTTATGGTTTTCAAAAAGCAACACCAGAACAAATGGGCGGCGGTGGCTCTGGGTCGGCATCTTCTATATTTTGCCTTTTGCCCCTCATCGGCCTTCTCTGAGGGCGACGCTCTCCACGAGTTGATCGTTTCGACCATGCCCGCACGTTTTGCTTTTGTTTGGTTGCGGCGGAACGTTCGACCGCGCCACGCTTGTGCCAGGAATGCGCATGAGCAACGACACGGCACAGGCGGGAACGCAGCATGACCAAAGACAAAACGACGCGAACCCAGTCTAGCTTCCTTCGCTCACCTCTCCATTGTACCTTTCACCATGCGACCTTGTGCTCACCCTGGTTCCCTTCAGCTCGCCGCCCTCGCATCCTCTCCCTCTCTCTCTCTCTCTCTTCTCCTCTCTCTTCCCTCCTGGGCTACATTGCGCGAGTGGCCAGCTGGACCACCTTCGTGCACCTTCTCCGACGGCCAGGGATCAGCCTTGCAGCTCACGTACCCCCCCCCAACAAAAAAGAGGCCTCCAAAAAGGCCCAATAAAGGCCTCGGGAACGCCCCACCCCGAAGGGGGGACAGGGACCGACACTTTGGGCTCTCCGCCCCAAAAACGCCCCAGGAGGCCCCAAGAGGCCCCAAGAAGTCTCTAAGAGGTCCCCTGGAAGCCCCTAGAGGCTTCCAGGAGTGTCCCAAGACTGCCTAAGAGGGCCCCTAGATGGTCGGAAACGCCCCAGTGCCCGAAGACTGCCCAACGGTCGGAGATGCCAAGGCAAAGTGGCACAGCGTCAAACGGACAACACGGGAACCCACATAGTACACATTGAAGCAGCACAGCGTCAAACGGACAACACGGGAATCAGCTTATGTGCCCCTCTTCTTTGTTTTCTCTTCGCAAGTCACCCCCATTTGTCCTCCAGGGTCGGGGTTTGCGGCAATATCAGGTTCCGTAGTCAAGGGAGGAAAAACCACCCCGACCCCCATAATTGGCGTTTGCTCAAGATTCTTTCCTTTGGTGCGCTTGTTGAACGCCTATCTTGTCGGGGTATTTACTGTGAGGGTGTCCTTTTCTGCTCTCTTCGCCGGCGAGCCCAGAGGGGAAGTGAGAAGGGGCGGGCCTTCTCAGAAGGGTCGGAAGTCCCCTGGCCTCCTGAGAAGTTCTTTCAGGTTTCCCCGAAGACGCAGAAAACTTCTCAAATGGCGCGAGGCCTTCTAAGAAGTTTTGCCGCCTTCTGAGGATCTAGGCCTGCCAGATGGGGTCCGAGCAGATGGGGTCGGAGGATCCCGCCACATCGCCGATGCATCGGCGATGCGGCTCGATGTGAAGCCCGATGTTCTTTCTGCCGACGTCGCGTTTCGCCGCCGACGTCGCCGATGCATCGCCGACGCGTCGCCAATGCATCGGCGATGTATTGGCGATCCGGCACGATCCTCGGACCCCATCTGCTCGGACTCCATCCAGGAGGCCTCTAGAGAAGTAGGAGGAGGAAAAGGCGGAGGGGGAGGGGGGGGGTAGGGGATGGGGGAGGGAGGAGGGAGGATGTGAGAGGAGGCGGAGGAGGGCGAGGAGGGAGAGGGAGGGAGAGGAGGAGGAGGAGGAGGAGGGAGGAGGAGGAGGAGGAGGGAGGAGGGAGGAGGAGGGAGGAAGGAGGAGGAGGGGGAGGAGGGAGGAGGAAGGAGGAGGAGGGAGGGAGGGAGGGATGGGAGGAGGGAGGGAGGGAGGGAGGGAGGGAGGAGGAGGGAGGGAGGAGGGAGGGAGGGAGGGAGGAGGGAGGTGAGGTAGGGAGGGAGGAGGAGGAGGAGGAGGAGGAGGAGGAGGAGGAGGGAGAGGGGGAGGAGGAAGGGAGAGAGGAGGAGGAGGAGGAGAGGAGGAAGGAGGATGAGGAGTAGGAGGAGGAGGAGAGGAGAGGAGGAGGGAGGAGGAGGAGGAGGAGGAGGAGGAGGAGGAGGAGGAGGAGAGGAGGAGGAGGAGGGAGGAAGGAGGAGAGAGGAGGGAGGAGGAGGAGGGAGGAGGAGGGGGGTCAGGAGGATGAGGAGGAAGGGGAACAGGAGGAGGAGGAGGAGGAGGAGGAGGAGGAGGAGGAGGAGGAGGAGGAGGAGGAGGAGGAGGAGGAGGAGGAGGCGCTCTCCTTCTCGTTTCGCCTCCTCGCTCGCCGGCGACGTCTGCGTAGGGCTCGCGCGCGGCCGCCGAGAGGCCACGCGGCGGGCGCTGGGCGGCGCGGGTGCCGTGCGGGCGCTCCTCGCCCGGCTGCCCGAGGACGCGCCGCGGGGTGCCCCGAGGTCGGTCGGTGCCGTCCCTGCCGGAGGTTGCCGCCCAGAGCCCAATCGAAGGTGGATGGACCTTCTACCCTGACACGTCGATCAAGGAATTGGCCGTTTTCGGTTCGCGAGAGGGCGTCGCGGCCGTCATTTTTGCGGGTCTGGGTCTGCCGGTTTCGGTCCCAAGCCGTTTTCGCTAAGGGGAGGTTTGCTAAATGGAGGTCTGTCCACCGCCGACCAAGGCATAAGTCGGGCCTGCCCCTCTACAGGAGGAGTTGTCAAGAGTAGTCAACAAATAGCCGCCCAGAGCCCAAGGCATAAGTTCGGGGGTGGACAGAACCCCCAACAGTGGCACGTCGATTCGTGAATTGTCCGTTTTCGGTTCTCGAGAGGGCGCCGCGGCCGTTGTTTTCCAGGCTTGCGCCCGCCAGGTTTGGGCGGTCGTTTTCACTAAACCACGTTTTGCTAAAGGGAGGTCTATCCATCCCCGATGCGTCGGGCCTGCCCCTCTGCAGGAGGAGTTTTCAAGAGTAATCAACAAAATAGTCCGTGCTTTTTTTCCTATGATTTTTGTCGACTCTCGTGGCGCATGCTTCGGCCGCTTTGTATGGTTCGTCTAAGGTCCGCTTGTAGGGGGACATGCCCGACCTGACCCACGGCGGCGGGGGCTCTCAGAAGCTCTCGCGCCTTCCGAGAAGCCCTCTCCGCCTTCGGGGAAGGCTTCGACAACTTCTCAGGAGGAGGAGGAGGAGGAGGAGGACGAGGAGGAGGAGGAGGAGGACGAGGAGGAGGAGG